GTGTGTTTTGCGGAACCTCAAAGTTCTGCTCCGTATGTCCAAATAGGTCTTAGTATTGGTGGTGTGTTGAGTGGAAATCTGTAGTCCAAAAGATGTGACAGTTGTTTGTATCGTCTGGTCAGTTCTTGTTTTTTTAATTTAGTATGAATGTTGCAGGTGAGTTTTTGGCCCAAGTATAGTCCGAGATACCGTACATGTATTTTTGAGGGAACTTGCTTATTGTCTATTGTCACAGCAGGACACGAGATCATCCACAGGGAGAAGCTAATATGAGTTAACTTGCTGAGATTGATTTTAATTCTCTGTAATTATAAATGAAATTTGTTATCATCATGATAATTTCATTATTTCATGGATTTTGGGTTGCTTGGTGAGTATTTTCATCCAAATTGATATTTCCGAAATTGGTGATGTATGTCATGTTGCTTACGAGATGTTTTTTAACGTAATGGTATTTGATTCGATTTATACGAATTATCTTCATGCACCATCTTTGAGGGATTTTACGCCTTCCTTAATTTTTCTTTGCTTCCTTTTGTCTCTTTTTAAAATTACATTAGGATTTTTAAACTCGGGTTGAGTTTTTTTTTTTTGCTTGTTATTGTTGTATTTATTGCTCGTCTGATCACGACTATTGTAACATATATCAACAGAAGAAGTTCGCATGCGTCAACCTATGGCTAAATACATAAGGGTGTATATAAAACGTAATAATATCGTCCTCCTTATTGTCTGGTGTCCGAGCGGATACCTGATATAGCGTTTTCCGGCAACCTGATAACCGTAAATTAGAAATTCCAATTCCAGTGCTGGATGGACTTTTAATTCTGGCATTGATCCCTCACTTTTCACCCTGGCCCGGAGAAACCCGTTTTGCCGAAATGGTGAGGAAGGAGAAGAAAAAAAAATAAAACAACAACGTAATAATAAATAAATATGTATGAAATCCATATTGAATATTTTACAGCACCAGACTCGTTATCTAATATCCACATCTCGTAGATCCGAGAAATCTCATCAGCTGTCTGATATTCCTGGACGGATACCCTATTATACCCTACACGGCGATTATTCGGAATGACATTCCGAGGCACTATTGACATTCAGATTGATAGTGTAACGTACTGGTTGAGGTACTGATGGACGTGACTCGCAGATTGCCGAAAATTCAGAAATCAAAGGTTCAATCTCGAGAAGTGAGAGGAAGACTGAGGTAAAGTGGTGGGGAGACTAACCTTACTGCTAGATAAGTTAGTTTATCTAGGCCTCATTGTAAATTCCTGATTTTCATTAAAGTTAAATAGTTTTTCATATCCTTTTTTTATATTTTTATAAACCATCTTCAGCTAATTTTTTTTTTAAATTGCCAAGTAGGCAATAAATTAAATAAAAAAGTGCAAACTTCACAATTTATTTATTTATCTCCATTTTTCTCTTGATGTCCAATGCTATAAAGGAGGCCAAATAAGTTTTTTTTAATTAAACTCATTATTATAAATGGCAATGCACGAGATTCACACTGCCTGTTACCTCAACGTCAATAGAGCTAAAATACGTCAGTCTGATTGATACGTATAAGGGTCTTCATTATTGAAGGAATCCTTGTCAGTCATTTGACTATTATCTATCCGAGAGCTAGCGAAGACCCCCGCCAGGCGAGGATGGAGCTCGGAGAGTGGTTATTTATAGGTAGCGCCCCCCGAGGGGCTGCTCTTTGTCTGCTCCCTAACAGGTCTCTTTTAGAACCTCTTTGTCACAGCATCCTCCCGTCTTTGTTTCATCTACCTCTCTTCCCTAAATTACACAGGCCGTGTAACTTGTATAGGTTACAGTCGATTACAGCGAAACGTCTCGCTTCATTCCGTGGCCAGGTCCTCTTTCCTCTGTTACTCATTACTCATGTGTTTCTATGTTCTACATGCTCCTTCAAGACAACTAAATTGCTTCTAGTTGTACTATTTGTTACTTCCGTTTGTAGATTAACTTGATATATAATAATTCTTAATACTTTATAGACGCTCATGGATGACTTGTTATTGTTTCTCAAACTACGTCGTTCCTCAAAATTACTGAACAATTTTCTAACAGGTTATAGTAATATCTAGAACCACCGAATTATAGTAAAAACGCTGCTACTCGTAGCATAATGGTTTATTATTTTCAAATAGTTATTTGTCGAAATATGTCATGTCAAATTAACCAGCCTTGACGTAGAAAATGTTCTGAACTTTTTGAACAATATATCTTAGCTCCGAGTCGTCCGATATATATATATATTTTTTTTTTTTTTATGTGCTCTTCCTCCGTTTTTAGGAAATTTAATTACATTTGAAATACTTGCTTATAAACATTACACAATTTTATAATTTTTGGGGTATTCATACATAAAATTCCAAATTCTTTATGAAATTTTTAGAGCCGTTTCGGCGATACAGTTTTTTCGGCCGCCAGTTTGAAACGAACAGTTGGATGGTATTGTACAGTTCTGAGAGTCATTCTCGGGCAGGGGTTTCCATCTCCCTTCAAGATCGATGGGGCAAAAACCTACTCCCTCCCCCACCCAAGATATTTTAGCAAGATAGACAAAGCAAACTAAGGTAGAATTAGAAAAATTGCAGATTATATACAATAACACCTGCTGCGACTAGTCTGAAAGACTTAATTGACATATTTTTCATTAACTGTTACTTCCTAGCCTCTATATCAGATAATATACAATTTGGAAATCTACAGTACCTGTCAGGTTATATTAGATAGAACCTTTTTTTATATTATTTATAAAAACTTTTTAATTTACTATCCGTTGTAGATTGTTTAATGGGTTCTATGTAGTTTTAGAAGAATATCTAATTATGATATAGTTCACTGATGATACTAATACAACCAGTGTTATCGTCTAGCATGCAGTGCCAATAGTATAAATTCGACCATCCTATATATTATTTCTAAAAGGTGTTTTTTTGTCAGTACGCCATAACTTCCTCAATTCTTCATAAAATCCAATGATTCACCTCTCATTTTGAAGATATTCTTCTCCCTCACAAGCCAAAAATATTCCTATCCTCCCGAAATTTCTGGGGAAAAAGTTATGAAGGAAAAAAAGTTTATTCGCGAATAACTCAAAAAGTATGCATTTTTTGCTGGATTATACCCATGATAATTATAAAGATTACTAAATTACCTACAAAACAAAAAAAATTGTAAAAGTCGGACAATTATTAACAAAGATACAGTCCACTAGTTTTGGTGTGCTTAATAATTACTTCCTCTTTAAAGATATTGCATTTAGGAGTAGGATAGTCTACTACACTTTCTTTCCTGGCTGATATTTTAACTTTATTATTTCTTAAAGACATTTGGTTGTTCTTACATTTCATTTTTTTTTTAATAATTTATAAAATCCCATTATCGAGTCTTAATTACTTTTATTATCTTTCCAGTCAGCGTTTAAAAATAGATCTTAGCAAAACAATTTGTACAAATATTTTATCTATTATGTTTAATGGAATATTGTAATCGACCAAGGAAAAAATATTAATTCCTTCCTTACATAATACATAGGAACTACTTATTTCCATATTGTTTTGCTATTTATTCACTAAACAATGTTCTGCGAATTATCAGCACGGGCCAATTAGTGTTTTCTTATTATTTTATCATTAATTGGTTTTGCAAATACTATCTTAATTTTGCTTTCTTTAGTACTGACCAATAGCTCGAGTACCTTTAGGAAGTTTGTGAAGTGAACAAGTGCATTTTTGACCTTAATGAAAATACTTATATATATATTATAAGTATATTACTTATATATATTACTATTATACGACTATAAGTAAAATTAACGTATGAAAAATACTGCAGAGGATTGCTGTCGGAGTTGTTTGATTCCTGGCATGCAATGGCTTAGGATTTATTGATATTTTTTTCGGGAGATGTGCAGGATTGAGAAGACCCTCAGGAATCGTTTACTATCAACTTGTCTGAAAACAGCTCACTATTTTTTCCTTTTTTTTTTTAAATACCTATAGGTTAAAATTATAGGTAGTATTTTTATGTTTTTAATTTACTTATATTTAGGTTATTTTATTTTTTTTATTGTATATAGTTTTTATTTATTATTATATAACTTTGTTAATTTATTATTTTTTTTTTTTTTTGTATATACGGTGTGAATGTGTTCATTTATCAATATAATTATTGTCCCTGTGACAGAATATTGTATGTCTAAATAAATAAATAAAAAAAAAAAAAAAATTTGCAAAACTTTGTTCTGAACTTTGTGGTTATCGTTTGCTTCCTAGATCGTTCTAAAGATTATACCACTCAGTGTCAAATTCTCTTTTGATTCATGAATAGGACAATTGAATCGGGTAGTTCAGAAAAGGCTCATGTCTAATTTTTATCGGTTTTGAGTTGAGACCTACTCCGGGTAGAGTAATCATGTACATCGTTAATGTAAGAAAACACGTTCGATAAATAGTGTAAAAATTTATTGTCAAAGCTATATATTTTTGGTTAGTTTTCAAAATCGAAAAAAGGTCGTCATATGTGTGTTATAACTCAAACAATTAATTCAATTTCGGTACATACACATACGATCTCATTATACTAGTCCTTCGTGTTTTATCCGTTCCACCTCATCTTAAATATTTTTGGATTGATTATCCCTATTTATTATAATTTTTGTTTATTAATTTTTCTGATGTTGATTGTTACCTAATAATGGAAGAATCAAGAATATTTCCTCAGAATCTGCTTAAATCAACAGTCACGAAACCACGCAAGAATGATTTACGATTCTGAAATGATAAGCGGTTCGCTATATAATTCCTTTAGGGCCAGCTACGATGATAGTACATTCCCTAGGTACCAGCGAAGATGACGAAGTTACTATTTGTTCTTGGACTCCTTCTGGTCGGGACCAGTCTCAGCGTCGATGCTGGTAATTTATAGAACTCAAAGCCTATTCAGTGTTGCTTTATTTACCTTGTTTTAATGAGATGATTGCTGGGTACGATAGAGTACTGCTCGAGTGGGACCTATTGCCCAGCAGGCTTCCACTGCTGCGGCTTTTACACTTGCTGCCCTGGCTATCTCTACTGTTGCAATCAGGGGTACAGTTGCTGCGGGGGTCCTTTCTTTTCCTTTCTATCGTAAGTATTTATTTTTTTAATATATTCTCTATATCTCGTTCAATCCTCTTAACCAACAATCAGTTTTAAAATTTGTGGGTTCCATTGCTTAAGTTCTGTTTTGTAATTAATCCTCATATACTCTTTGTTTTGAGTTTGTGAAATATATGTATGGATTTGCATTTGTGAATGTTTACGTTGCAACAATACTTTTCCTTGTTGACGAAGTATTTCATAAGTGGTAAACAGCTCTTTCTACTTATATCACTCCTGAAGTTTAAAGTTCAAAATATATTTTAGATTTACTTTAACAACCTTAGTAAATTTTGTTACCGTCAAATTAAATTTATTCACGTTTCAATCTTTATAATATTTTCGATCGGCATCAAACCGATTACGTTTTCTTTCAAAACAGTTTAAACAAAAAATTGTTGGTCATTTACTACTACAGCTGTATGAAATAAGCAAATATGAGTGTCAATTCCAAGGATACTGTTAGTTTAAAATATTTTATATTAAAAAATTAAATTTAAAAAACAATTTTTTCTTCACAAATTAAAAAAATTTATAGGTAGATAGATAGATAGACAATAAACTTTATTCTGGGACGAGGTTCCTTATGAACAAAAAACTAAAAACCACATCTGGCCAAAAATTACATTAATCAACATTAAAGAATATATACAGTATCTTCAGTGAAAGCATATTAAAACAAATAATATATAACACCATTTTGAAAAAAAAAAAAACATTTAAATGAAAAGAAAAACAGAAATCAGGTAAAATTAAAACTCAAACAATTTCAATATATATATAATAAAAATTACAAAACTTAATTATTATATGGGATTGTGTAAATATCAATTAGAAAATCTGCAGTCTTCGAAATTTGTGTGTTATACAATATATAACTTATAACTTGTTATTGAAATTTATAGCTTCGTAAATTTTCAATTTACATAGAGAATTGTTTATAATTTATTGATGAAATAAATCAATGCCAGTCTCAATATTGGCAAAGTCTCTTAAATTAAGGTACTTCTTATTTTAAAAGACAGATTTGAATTTTAGAAAATCTATAGTAAATCAGCATTGCTCGTATTCAAACCCACAACGTATTCTCGTGTCACAGGAGTGTATTGCGGGTCTACGTGGTTGTTTTAACATACAAGGTTTTGAGTCTTTGAAATATAATTCTCTGAAATAATGTAACACAGCTTTGCAGTATGGATTAGCTATCATTCTGTTATGGTCGAATGATTTTGTTTTTGTTCAGTTTTACATTTTTCAATATGTGGACGATGAAGCTGATAGAAATTGTTATTTGAGTTAACAATTGTTTGTGGGAGACATATCACATAGTACTCTTAAATTCATATTTTGATTACTTTTCTTGTTTCTAATAACTTGTAAAAGATATTCTATAACAGTGGGTATTATCTTTAAAAGATTGATATAGCCATCCACTCCCAAGTTTCAATTATAACGTATCTAGGCTAGGATATCATCTCAGGTGTATACGGCACCACCTGTTCTCTGTTTTTTTTTAAGTTTTCGGTCAGTTTTAAAAACAAATTAGAGAGCCTTGCGTCGACCGTCCACCTTCCGAACTGTTCTATCTAATGAAGAAGGGATGGGATGGCAAAATATAAATTAAGATGTGACTATCCAAAACCTACACTTTGTCAAAGAAAATAAAAAATTACAATGTTTACAAAGAAAGCCATCTCACTGGATATCAGTAGAAAAAAAATGTAATAACAATACCTGAGAAAAATTAGAATATTAGATTTCATTTTTTTTTTTTACGTTCAAAAATTAAATTTACGTATTATACGCGTTTTCGATAATAAATGTTAATACTTCTATAGGTGTTTTATTAAATTATTTATTATTAATTTACTTCAATTCTTTTTAATTGTTTTGAATGTTTAAGGAACGTAATTGATATTTTCTATAGTTTTGTTTTCTTTATTGATTAAAAAAAAATAAAATCGATTAAAATTATAGAAATTCACTTTAATTTCGGCAATAAAAACTTACGGTTATACCAACAATTGGTTCATTTGTTGAGATACATGTTAAGATGACGTTTCAGGAAAATTATTCCCATCTTCAAAACTTAAATCCCATACTTTCATAGCGAAAATGATATTTCGATAAATTTGATTACTATTGATATAAGATGATATACTATCGTTAGTGATTACTAACTCGAGGCCCGATATATCGAAATATGTATAGATTTTATCGCTCCATCACCACATCCATCGGAGAGATCCATTGTTGCAGGTTCGTCCCTGCACAGATGCGGGATATTGAATGGCAGCAGTTGAGAGAGAGCCCCCCGCAACGAAGTTTTGGTATGAACTTCAACAGAATCAACGATAGGCTCAGACTTCGAGGGAGAGGGGACCGACCTTTCCTCCCCGCAATAAAAATGTTGATGTTCCGTGAATATCGTAGCATCCCCCCTCCGAGTAATTTGAGTTTAAATTAAGAATAAATAAGCTACATGAATGAATAAAATATGTACCGTTGAATCGATTAATTTAAACGATGAAGTACAGAAAAGTCGACTAGCTGGCTAGGCTAGAGCTTAGTAGTTGCTATGTAACTATTATATTGGTACCTAAATTTACTGTTATTTGAATTGTCATTTATACTTCAAGATTACTATATAATATATATCAACATATCCTAGGATTTTATGATTAAATCACCCTTCAATTTTCTTAGCACATTTTCCGCGGCAAACTAGTTGAACTCATAAAAACTTATTTTTAAGGTTGTATACACTAAGGAAATCAAAGATATTGTTCTCTTTTTCATTATTCATTTTTAGCTGAAAGAGTTCTAGAAACGTACCAATGTTATGAAGGCTGTCTCCCCTCCTCCGTTTGTTTAATCTAAACAAATACTTTATGTATTCAATTGTCTTTTTTTTTTTTTCATAGATATTTCAAGTATATATAATAAGCAAAAAAAAAAATTCTTTCAACTATACAAACATAAACAAACAAATTTTAATTTTATTTTTGGTTCATCGCTAATTACCCTCCTCTCCCTCCTCATTAAAATCGAAAATCTGCAGCCTATAGACTCGCTTTTTATTTTCATTATTGTCCATTATCCATGAAGTAATTTGAATCTTTATTTAGTTGTACCTTTCTTAAATATCCATGAATTATTATTAATTATTTATTTTAAGGCAGAAAAGATGGATGTTGAAAACGAATATTCTGGAGGTAAATTGGTTGCTATGTGGGAATACCGCGAATATCATAAAGGGTTCATTGTTGGGGAATGGTTATCAAGGAAGGAAACTTGAAGGCGGGCGTGACCTATTCTCTATGAACAGATTACGTGGTTTATCATTCGTATGAACGTTATTGTGTGTGGGTATTCCTTGGAACAAATGATGCAGCGAAACTACGTGTGTTCGATCCTTTATTGTACCTTCTTCAGCTTGAATTGTTGGAAACGCTAGCGGATTCAGAGAGGGACGCTGGAACTCCCTAATCTCCCTCAAATATAACTAATCTCTTTTTCGTTTGTCCATTTTTATAGCGATTTTAAGACTAAATAAAAAAGGGTCTGTGGTACAAACCCTTTTTTATTTACGAAAATTCTTGGAATTGGGGCGTTTTTAATCTTGAGACGAGTAAACTTTATCTATTTAATTAGGAAATAAAACTCGTAAATACCCATTTATATTCTACTTAGGTCGTGAGATAATTTGATCATGTAATCGATTTAAAAAAAGCTAGCTTTATCATAGCATTTTACAGCCTTAGTTTGAGATTTTTCGGGATTTCAATACCTTTGAGAGGGAGAGGAAGGCTCTTTTTACGCTGTAGTTATATTCTTGGTCTATTTCTTACCAACCACTTGAAGCTAAGGAATACTCATTTGCTTTCCACTTGAATCGTCTGACAATATGGCAACAAAATCTAAACAAAAGATGGCCTAAAAAAAATATTGAGGCGTTTGGCCTGTATAAACTCGTTATTTTTACATTTTAGGGGTAAAGATACCAAACGGACCAATATTTTTGTAGGCCACATTTTTTTCTGCTTTGTTATCATATTATCTTATGATTCATGTCGAAAGAAAATGAATATCCATGAGTTGTTATTACTTAATTAAATAGACAAAATTCTCCGACTTGAGTCGTAAAACTGAACCCTAATGATTATTGACAATTTTTAAGGGAAACGTGGAAAACCATGATATCTATTTCAATTTAAATATCTAAACCAATATCTTTCAAAAAATAAATTAAGGAATTCCTTGTTTGTAGAACATTTTCCGAAAATCGCAGATTATTTCAATAGTAATTAAACTTGAAATCCCGTTTTTGAACAGAAAAAAAAGATTGATTAGGGTATCTTAGTGAAAATTATGAAAATTGTACTATAAAAATATCCCAAAGATAGACTACTACGCACTAGAAGGCTAGTTGAGGCAGAAAAATTATTTAAATCCAATCAAAGAAGGGGAAAAAAGTCCTGTAATTATAGATATAAACACGCACCTAAAAAAATTACAATAATAATAAAGGGCTTAGCAAACCCGAAGGTTCGATGCCAATATCACCAATCGGTGCCTCCATACATCAATCCATGCCCTCAAAAAGGTCAAGAAACAGAGATGAAGAAAAATTAAATACTTATAGCATTATGGTTTGTGTAATTAACATCTTTTGTGTTTTTTTATTAAATGAATTTTTGATTTTTTTAAATAAATGAATAGAATAAAAAATCGTCCTCCAAAATTATGTTCCGTATTAGCTAATTTTTAGGAAACAGTGTAGCCAGTGGCGTTTCCACCATATATTTTTTTAAATTTCCCTTTCGGCAAATCATATTTTCCCTTTTTTTTCCCCTCAGATCGAAGTTTATAAATTCTATGAAACTATGTACAAAATTATACTTAATATTATATTTAACTACTTACTGTATTTCTGTATTCTTACTAATATTATCAAAACGATTAGATTGATCTGTGCTCAGATTAAGGTTTGATTGATAAAAATCGTTTCCCTTTTTTTCCCTCCAAACCTTAAAAATTTCTTAAAAAGAGAATTTTTTTAGCAATGTAGATACCGTTGATAAAAATCGTTTCCTTTTTTTTCCCTCCAAACCTTAAAAATTTCTTAAAAAGAGAATTTATTTTAGCAATGTCGATACCGTGGTAACCAGTACTGTAATATGAGAAGCATTGAATTTTATGACTATCATTTGAAATTTTCACAATACACTTTAAGATTATTTAAATTTAAATACTCTAACGAGCTATATTATTGTGATTGCTACATTTTAGTTCTATCTCATTTCTAGGAATATAGAAAAGCCATTAGGTATTTCCGTTTGAGAGAAACTTAATGTTGAGTTAGGTCGATTTGTAATCGTAAAAGTCCGATAACTGTCAGCATTAGAAGTTGTTAATATATCTGATGGAATGGCGGTCGCTGAAATGGATCAAGATATTTCTGTTTTGACTGGTGACGTACGTATTCTGAAATAGATGCGAAAACCGCATGACCTGCTGTATCAGTTATTTTAGCCATATTTGTTTATACTACATGTATGAATTTACTATAAACAATTTTAGAAAGTTCTTGAATTTACTACTATTCGTTGTCATTGAAGTATAATAATTTCTTTATGATATAATAACCATAATTATTTAATTTAGGCAGATTAGGAGGAAAGAAGAACTATTGTTATCAATGGAAAGCTTTGTTCTCCCAGGAAGATAGACAACGAAGAAATTAATTCAATTAACAATGCTTATTTATTTCTTGTTTAACAATGAATAAAAAGTGATTTCTGGTTATTTTATCCGACTTGTTTACAAGGAGGGCTGAAATGTACGAGTATAACATTTTTAATTTGTGAGTTTGTTTTTCCAAGACTTGGTTTATTGTTTTCAATTTCCCCCATTTCACAGTATTTATAGATATTGCGTTTAAAGTTTGTTTGTTTCCTATAGAAGGAGGAAGCACACTCTTTCTCAATCCTAAAAATAGAGTAAAAGTGTTTCTAAAAGCACGTAGTTCATTCGTCCCCTAATAAAATGTTTTTTTTTTTTTTTTCAAGAATAGCAAGGGCTGAAACTATTTATATGTCTTGTTTAAGGACGTTTTTGAAATTTAATTTTTTTTTTTTTTTTTACATATTTAACAAAGAAACCGATATTATTGAAGGAACTTAGTCTACGACAAGTTTGGGTTGAATCGTCGGCAACAATAAAAAAATCTCAAAACTTACTGCTTTCCGATTATTTATCTTCTGTGAAAGAAATCTATAATTTAGCTTGGACATAGTTAATTCAAAAGGTGTCATATCCTTTATTAGTCTGTAGTTCAGAGCCCTTTTTTATCGAATTATTAACATCCGCCTAAAACTTCGTAAATAGCTTCATCTCATCGTAACTTACAAATATTTTATTTACGAAAAGTCTCGGAATCGGGGCATTTTCGATCTAGAAATAGTTAAACTTCGTATATTTAATTAGGTACTAAAACCTCGTAAACACATATTTGTGTTCCCCTTGAATCGTGAGATAATTTGACCATAAAATCGATAAAAAAAATAAAATAAAAAAAGGTGACCTACAAAAATATTGGTCCGTTTGGCCTATATAACCTCGTTATTTTGACAATTTGGAAGTATAGACCACGCCAAACAGATCAATGTTTTTGAAGACCACGTTTTTTCTCGACTTTGTGTTAAACAATTTTTTTTTACAATTCACAATTATCAATTTTCGTATACCCTAATTTCGTACGGGCTATATAGCATATGTGGAACTCGGAGGCCGCATGTGGCCTCTCTGACGTTTGCTTATTTGCGGCCTCCTAACAGTTTTGCGCGATGATTATTAATCTAGTGCTATAATTAATTATATATATATATATATATATATATATATATATATATATATATATATATATATATATATTATATATATATATGGACCATTACAGACCATCTTTTGCCGCCTTAACAGGCCTGCTGCATCTCTGCCTGTCATAGGCTATTTCTTTCCATTTTGGCCTTCCGCGTGATCTTTTGCCTTCTATTAAAACATTCATTGTTATATAGAAGCTTCCAGATGGATTGCTATGAGCTACTTTTCCCACCCATCATAACTTCCATGCCTTCATATCAAGGGATATTGATTGACCAGTTTCTGTAAGCAGTCCTTTATTGGTATTTCTTCTCCATGTGTTAGTACTCTGATCCCAGATCGCTCCGGTTATCGTGTGGTAGATTTTCCTCTCAAATCTTTCAACACTTTTTTCTGAAGTGCTGGTTAGTGTCCAGGTCTCACAGCCATATATTAGAATCGCCTTTATCATAGCATTGTACACCCTTAGTTTGAGATTTTTCGGAATTTTAATATCTTTGAGAAGGAGAAGAAACCTCTGTTTGCACTAGTTATACACTGGTCTATTTGCTCATGTATTTGAAGTCATTCATTGAGGATATATATATATATATATATATATATATATATATATATATATATATATATATATATATTAATTAATTAATTAGAATATTAGAATAACTAATAAATGAAATGTACTTAAAAAATAAAATGAACATCTTAGACATTTAATATTCAGAACTGTCAGAAGAGTTGACTGTTTCTGGCTATGCTTTTTTTATTTATCAATCTATGTCTCCTCGTTTCCTTCTCTTATATCATCTCTCTCAATTCAAGTCATCTATACACTCCCTCTCCAAGATTTCGTCCTTCTGACGTTTATACCCCTTTTCACAAATCATCCCTATTTCTACACTCCTTTATTGTCTGCTCCACCACTTTTTGTAATTCTATCCCTTTTATCCCAATTTTTCCTTACAATTGAATTTGATGCAATGTAGTTATTTATTATTATATATATTATTATTTTTTTCATTTATGAGTATGGAAAAGATTTCCAGTCACTTTGCACTGATAATTGTTTTTTTTTTCTATTTATATGAATTAAAGTCTTAGAGATGTGTTTAGTTGTTTACTAATATTGAACGCACTCCTCTAAATGCATATTACTTTTTTTTATTTTATTTTGTTTTCTTCTATCAATCTACATCTTAAGATATAGATTATATGACTTTTCCAATGTTTACAAAATACTATTATAAGTATTCAATTGAACATATTAAGGTACAGATGTAAATCATTCATTGTAAATATTTATCTACTTTTTTATTTTATTTTTTTCATTACTAAAAGTAATTTATTGTTCTTGTCCACTTTCATTTAGTTACTTCATACTTTGTTTTTTATAGCAACTATTTTCCAGTATTGTGA